TTGGAAGTATAAAAATATAAATTGTTAACAGTAAAATATTAAGGAAAGTGCTTGACATATATATATATATATATATACATATATATATATATATATATATATGCATCAAACAACCAGATATATAAAACACTCTTAGACTTTAAAAACTGATAGATCTCCAACACAATAAAAGTAGGAGACACCCTACATTCACCAAAGGACAAGTCAGCCAAACAAAGGATCAGCAAAGAGGCCTTTGAATTAAAGAACACCATAACCCAAATCGTTTAAATACACATATGCAATACACATATGCAGAGTATTTCACCCAACAACCACCCAAAACACATCCTTTTCAGCAGCCCATGGAACCTTCTCCAAAATAGATTGTAGCCTAGGACATTCAACAGGCCTGAAGAAATACAAAAGGATTGAGATAATTCCCTGTATCCTGTCTTACCACAATTGAATTAAACTAGATATCATTAAAAAAGATATTACAGAAAACATGCAAACACCTGGAGACTGAACACACTATTGAATAGCAGGTAGGTCACTGAAGAAATAAAGGAAAAAATCAGAAACGTATACCAAGAACCTCTGAGATATAGCAAAAGCACTGTTGAGATGAAAGTTCATAGCTTTTAGTGTGCCATAAAGAAAACAGAAACAGTTCACGATGGAACTAAAGCTACTAGAAAAGCAGGAACAAACAAAACCTTAAAGTACCAGCTGGATAATAAAGATTAGGGCAGAAATCAATGACTTAGAGAACAAAAAAAAAAATGCATAGAATCAATAAAAGAAAAAAACTTGTTCCCTTGAAAAAAAATAAAATTGACAGACTCCCAGCTAAATGGATGGAAAAAAAGAAGAGACTCAAATCGACAATATTGGAGGATGACAAAGGTAACATCACAAGAAATATCTAAGAAATCCAGAAGAATATAAGGGACTACTTATGTTGTTGTTGGTTGTAGGGCTTGAACTCTGGGCCTGGACGCTGTCCCTCAGCTCTTAAGCTCAAGACTCACATTCTACCACTTGAGCCACAGTGCCATTTCTGATTTTCTGGTGGTTAATTGGAGATAAGAGTCTCACAGACTTTCCTGTCTGGGCCAGCATTGAACCGTGATCTTCAGATCTCAGCCTCCTGAGTAACTAAGATTAAAGGTATGAGCCGCTGGTGCTGGGCTATGAGGGACTACTTTTTAAAATTTATTCTCAAGTAAAATGAAAATCTAGCAAATATGGATAAGTTCTTAGAGACATACAAGCTGTCTAAGCTGAACCAAGAAAATATAAATCACAAGCAATGAGATCAAATAAGTAATAAAAGAGTCTTCCAGGGGCTGGGACGGTGGCTCAGTGGTAGAGTGCTTGCTTTGTGTGCATGAGGCCCTGGGTTTGATTCCTCAGCACCACATAAGCAGAAAAAAGCTGGAAGTGGCTCTGTGGCTCAAATACTAGAGTGCTAGCCTGGAGCTGAAGAGCTGAGGGACAGCACCCAGGCCTAGAGTTCAGGCCCCACGACCGACAAAAAAGTGTCTTTCAACAAGAAAAAGTCCAGGTCCCTCAATTCACAGCTGAATTCTATAAGACCTTTTGAGATAAACGAATACTAAAATTTTTTACGAAATAGAAATGGAAGGTTCATACCAAACATTTTATGAAGCCAGTGTTACACCTATCCCAAAACCAGATAAGGACCCAACAAAAAAGGAGACTATCGGCCAGTCTCTGATGAACATAGACATGAAGCCCTTTAATAAAATACTTGCCAATGGAATTCAACCACCAGTATGATCAAGTAAGGGTTTTTCCCCTGCCAACAAACTCCAGCATCCATTCATAGTAAAAGCTCCAAAAGGCTAAAAACAGAAGACACACTCTTCCACATAAAGGCTATATGATAGACCAACAGCTCACATCATACTTAATAGCCAAAAACTAGAATTATTCCCTGTAAGATCAGGAACACCCCATTTCAATATAATTCTGGAACTCCTATCAGAACACCAAGGCAAGAGAAAGACCTAAAGGGGATTCATATAGAAGAGGAAGAAGTCAAATTATCCCTATTTGCAGATGATATAATCCTGTATCTGAAGGACCTAAGATCTAAAGCTGATCAACAGTTTTGGCAAAGTAGCAGGATACAAAATTAACTACAGGACACAAAAATAACTACACCAACAGTGTACAAGCAAGGGAGGGATGTCAGAAAAATATTTCCATTTGCAGTTGCTTTAAAAAAAATAGAATATTTAGGAATAAACTTAACCAAAAAAGGAAAAGATCTCTCCAATGAAAACTACAAAAATCTGGAGAAAGAAATCAAAGACAAAATCAGAAACTGGAAAGATCCCATTTTCATAGATATATAGAATTAATGTTGTGAAAATGGCCATACTGCTAAATGTGACTTACAGATTGAACATAATCCCCATCAAAATCTGAATGACTTCTCTGACAGAAAATCCAAAATTTCTTAGGGAAAGCAAAACCTTGAATAGCCAAAGCAATTTTAAGAGAGAAAAAAAAGCAACCCAAGACCTCAAGCTCTGAGATGTAATAACAAAAATAGGTCTGAAGATCTATGGAACAGACTAGAAGACTCAAAAAATAATGCCGTGTACTCAGTGTTATCTGATATTTGACAGGTGAGCCAAAAATGTATGGTAGAACAAAGATACAGCCTCTTGATAAATGATGTTGAGAAAATTGGACATCCATATATAGAAAACTAAAGGTGGATCCCTGTTTGTCACCATGTTCTAAAATGGATCAAAGACCTCAACAAACTATTGTAAGATGGAATAAGAGAAATATTAGAACTTATAGGCATAGGCAGGAAGTTTTTGAAAAGATTCCTAGGGGCACAGCAAATAAGAGAGAGACTTGAAAAATAGGAAGGCTTATATTAAAATTTCATCACAGCAAAGGACATAGTTATGAAACTAGAAAGACAGCCAACACACTGCAATACATCTGACAAAGGCATACTATCAAAAATATACAGGGAACTCAAAAAATTTCCTCTAAAACTAACAAACCAACCAACAAATGAGCAATGGAGTTAGTTAAGACAGACTTTTCCAAAGAAGTTGTTACAATAGCAAATGAATACATAAGGAAATGCTCAACAGTCCTGGACATAAAGGAAGTACAACTTTTAGATTCTATCTATCTCCAGTTACATCTCATCAAGAATTCAAATAGCAACAAATGCTGGCAAAGATGTGGGAGAAGGAACCCTAGTTTAGAGTTTCCTCTAAAAACTAGACAGAACTTTCCTATGACCCATCCATACTATTCTTGGGCATCTACCCAGAATATTACACTTAACACATGCATGTTCATTGCTGTACTGTCACAATAGACAAAATTTGGAAATGGCCCAGATGCCCTATGATAGATGAGTGAATCCAAAAAATGCAGTATACATACACAATGGAATTTTACTCATCCATTAGTCATTCATAGGGAAATGGATGGATGTAGAATAAATCATGTTAACTGAGATAAACTCCAAGAGACAAATGACACAAATAGTCTCTTGTATGTGGAAGGTAGATGTAAAATATATTTGGACATTATAACTTATACATGACTGTAGGCATTCATATACAAACAGACCAAAGTAGGATACCAGTAGGGGAGGAACCCAAAGGTGGAACTATATTGAACATGTACAGTACTGTTGATCAGAACAAATTCTAGGAAACAATTGTTGAATAAATGCATTTTTCTTGTGGTTATTGTTGTGGTGGTGATGTGTATGTATAGTTTTTCTTTTTCTGCTTCTTAGGGGATATGTAGAAAGGGAGGGAGGAGAGTGAATGCAATCATTCTGTTCATTATGCACTATATGGAAAATGAACTATGCAATTTATGGCCAGGGACAGGAGAGGGAAGTAGGGGCAAGTGAAGAAAAGTGTCCCATTGTCTAAAAGAAATGTACGTATTATATTATCTGAATTGTGAGATGGTAATCTTTCTGTACAGCACCTTTAATAACAATAAAATTAAAATATGAAGGAATTACATACATTTTACTAAAATTTTAAATATTAATGACACTTGGTGTGATATTTCTATTTATGCATATGTTATATACCTAATATACATATGCACATATCATATACCTAATTACAAGTTGAAGTTTGTGAGATGAAATTTAGATGCAATCAAAATTGCTCCTTATCCTCTTAGCACTTATCATTTATGAAATTATGAAACTGAGGTGTATGTTTTACTGAGAAGAGGATACCTACATAAACAGTTGCAACAGAAGGTAGAAGTTGATTAGTATCCTAGAAATTCTGTAGCTAAAATTTTAGTTTTGGGTAGTTCTTCATAGCAGAAGATTTCAACGAAGGTGGCCTGTAACCTTTGTTCTTAAAAAAGTCCAGAGATGTTTCATGACATAGTATGCAGTAGGTAATTACTAAATGAATGCATCTTGAAAGTGGATAGATAAAGCAAAGGGAAAGAGGAGGTAAGTTCCTGGCAGAGTTTGAATCATGAAAAAGCAGAATCATGAAATATTAGAAGCAGGATTTTGATTTTTTTGTATTTTGTTTTGTGATTAACAAAATATAGTACTCATGATCTTTGAAGAAGAAGTGAGATGTGATTTGGGAAAGTATAGAGTTAGTCACCACAATGATTATGTCTTCCTTTAAGTCCCCTATTACATCATCAATGGTCTAGCTGACCCCAGAGCAATGTTTTGTTTTATTTAATGAAAGAATTCTATCAAAAGGAATGTTTTAAATCCTTACAAGCTATCAGTGTGTTCACTGGAGAAGGCTTTTTGTTCAGAGCACTTTTTGCAGTAATCTTAACAGGAAGTAAAAACAGAAAAGATCTGTTAAATGGGAAATTGTAGAGGCAAAATCTTACAGGCTTGGTAATAACTTGACATGGAGATCTCAAGATTACTGTACAGCTTTACAGTATTCATTATCTATTTCTCAAGCTATTGAGAAAACATGTGAATTTGTTCATCTTTACAGGTACAAAAACAACATGCAAAGGAAGAGTCTCTTGCTGATGACCTCTTTAGGTAAGGCTTGATTTCAGGTTTCTCTTTTTTTTTTTTCTGGTGCTGGAGCTTGAACTCAGGGCCTGTGGGCACTGTCCTTGAGTTCTCTGTGTCTAATACTAGTGTTCTACCACTTGAGCCACAGCGCCACTTCAAGCTTTTTCTGTTTATGTTGTACTGAGGAATCGTACCCAGGGTTTCATGCATGCTAGGGAAGCACTGTACTGCTAAGCAACATTTCCAGCCCCTCTTGTACTTTTAATCTCATACAAAATGAATTATTGTATGTGCAGATTAAATAATTGCTTCCTATCCATATAGTATACACTAGTCCTTTCATCTAAAGAATGTTTTGTGTTCAACGTATATTTCTTTCTATTACCTTAACACCTGTTAATTAATTGGGTTTCCTTTAGAGCTTGAGATTGAGTTTTACCATAAAATACTTTAAATTTGAATGGATTAACAAAGGGTAAACAAATGCAGCAATTAGATACTATGTTGAAAAATGAACTACACAACTTGTGGGTGGGGACAGGAGTAAAAAAGAAAGGTAGAGAAAGGTGAAATTGTCCAAAAAGAAATGTACTCTTTTTTTTTTTTTTTTTTACCAGTCCTGGGGCTTGAATTCAAGGTCTGAGCACTGTCCCTGAGCTTCTTTTGCTCAAGGCTAGTGCTCTACCCCTTGAGCCACAGCACCACTTCTGGCTTTTTTTGTTTATGTGGTACTGAGGAATTGAACCCAGGGCTTCATGCATGGTAGGCAAGCATTCTCCCACTAAGCCACATGTCCAGCCCAAGAAGTGTGCTCTTTACTTGACTTACGTAACTAACCCCTTTGTATATCACCTTTACAATAACAATAAAAAATAAAAATAAAAGGCTAGGCACCAGTGGCTCACTATAATCCTACCTACTCAGGAAAGTGAGATCTGAGGATTGAGGTTTAAAGCCAGCCCAGACAGAAAAGTCCCCATGAGATTATCATATCTAACTAACCATTCAAAAACTGGAAGTGGAGATGTGGTTTAAAATGGCAGAGTGCTAGCCTTGAGCAAAAGAGCTGATGGACAGCACTCAGGCTCATTAAGTTCAAGCTCTACAACCGACCAAAAAATAAATAAAAAAATGTGTATAGAGTCAGGTAGAAGGAAGTTCACCATGAGTGCATTCACTTACCTGGTTCTGGCTTATAAATTTGTGAGGTTTCTTTAGTAGAAATATGAGTGAATTTTTAATTATTTGTTATAATTGACACATGAATAAAAACAAAAACTATATGGTTTCAAAGCAGGTTTTTGAGGAGCTAAATGAGTGATTATGATTATTATTGAACACAATTTTAGTCTCCTTAAGACTCACCAAACCTTATATTTACTTTCTAACTGCTAATAAAATGCCATTTTAGAAGTAGATACCGGTGAGGAGAACAACATTTTTCAAAAAGTACTATTATTTCTGAATCTGTTTTGCAGTTAAGTTCATGATTCTCTAATTTTAAAAATGACATTGTACTGAAAATAGTGACAATGCTGGTTTGTTATAGTCAAGATGACATCTAGCCCAGCTGTATTTGTTTAATTGCTGTAAGAGGTTTTGTAAGGAATAATTATGTTTTAGGTTCATTGTGCTCTTGTATGCAAATATGGTATATTTATTTTTACCAAATATTCATCAAAGTAAAAAGAAAATAAAAATAATTATTTTCTGAGCACAGCATTGACATTCTCATCCTGCTTGCCAAAGTATGACTAGTTTGACAGGCTTTGGAACATTAAAAGTTAAAAATACAGGATCCTTTATTTAAATGTCATTTAATGTCACTTATTTCTCTGCAGATATAATCCTAATGTCAAAAGGAGAAGATAACTGAGAACTTCAAATGGAAATTATGAAAACATGTTTCTAGAAGTTACTTCAAACTAACAGATAAATGAATAGCCTATACAAAAAGGTTTAAGTTGCAAAGTATTTTGTCTTAAGTTTGTTACATAAAATGCATACAACTCCATTTCTTCTGTGTGTGGTAATGAATATTGTTTGTTTTGCTTTTAGGAGCTGTCACCTCACCTCATGATAATTTTTCTATTTTAAAACATATTTCCTTTATATTAAATAATAATACTCACAGTCCAAAATCCCTAAGGTAGTTAAGGGTAAAGACTAAAGTCTCTCTTCAACCACTCTTGCTATTTGGTACACCAAGGAAAATAACTCATATTTCTATGTGCACATTTAAATTATTATGAATATCAGTATGAATGTTAGTAATTTCTTCCATGTATGATATCAAAACATATAACATTTTGCTATATATATATAGAGAGAGAGAGAGAGAGAATAGATTGGTATGTTATAGGCATATCAACATAATATTTATTTGAACTTTTTCTTTATAGTGTATCCTTCCCAACTGATACCACCTAAATGAAATAGCTTCAGTGGTTACCATGTCAATCATGTATTAGTTTTTTTAATAAATTTTTGAGATTAAGTATACATAAATTTCACTGTATTATGAGATAGTGATAGTTAAAGTCACAGACACATTTTAAACTTCACAAGAAATATTGTCATTATCATGGTCTATAATGTTTGTGAATTCTATGAGCTTTGACAATACTATTTCTTCCACATTGGGTGATATGTACGTTTCTTTCCTTTTGTTTATTGTAAGCTGTGTCCTCTTTCCCTCATTCCCTCCCTTCCATCGCTGCCCTTGAAATGCTTAGTTCGTTTTCATCAATGACCAGTACAGCTGAGGGGCCACTCTGTTGTATATTTCCCATTTCTCTCTGATTCTGTATCTTCCTCCTAGCTTCCGTCAGATGTCCACATATATATACCATATATGTGGTCAAGAACATGGAATCATTTAGAAATGATACGACAAATTGAGTGGAGATCCTTTGTTCCTCGAGTCCTGTTTACTTTGTCATAACACCTTGCATTTTGGAGTTCACATTTGTCTCTCTGCTCTAGGCTTACCTCATCCAAAGTGATTTTTTTCTAGTTCCATCCATTTCCCTGCGAATGCCATCATTTTGTCATTTCTAATGGCTGCATAATATTCCATTGTATATAGATATTACAATTTTTGGATCCATTCATCTGTAGTGGGGCATCTGGGTTGTTTTGGCTATTGTGAACAGTGCAGCAATGAGCATGAGGGTGCATGTGAGGTGCATGTGTCCTTGTATCCTGGTTCCTGTTGCTCAGGATTGATGCCTAGGAGTGATATGACTGGGTCATAAGGGAGGTCTATATTTAGCTTTCTGAGGAACCTCCAGACTGCTTTCCAAAGTGGTTATGTTAGTGTACATTCCCACCAGCAGTGCAATAGGGTTCCTCTTTCTCCACATCCAGCATTTGTTTTTGGCTGAATTTATGATGTGGGTCATTCTGACAGGAGTACCGTGGTATCTCAGGGTTGTTTTTATTTGCATTTCCTTTACACCGAGGGATGATGAACATTTCCTCATGTGTTTATTTGACATTTTTATCTCTTCTGGCAAGTCTCTCTTTAGCTCCCTGGCCTATTTAATGATTGGTTAGATTAGGGAGGGATTAATTTCTTGAGTTCCCTGTATATAATGGATATTAGGCTCTTGGCTCTTGCCTAATATATTGCTGGTAAATATTTTTTCACACTTAGTTGGCTCTTTCTAGTTTGGTAGGTATGTCTTTAGCTGTGCAGAAACTTTTTAATTTAAGGTAGTCCCATTTGTTGAGTCTCTCCAATTTGTTTTGACCCTGGGGCTCATTCAGGAAATTTCTGCCTGTGCCTAAGTTCCAAGTGTCTCTCCTACTCTGTCCTACAGTAGTTTCAGAGTTTCAGGTTTGATGTTGCGGTCTTTAATCCATTTTGAGTTGATGTTAGTGCATAGTGACAAGCTGGGATCCACTTTTAGTTTTCTGCATGTGGCTGCCCAGTTTTCCCAGCACCAATAGTTGAAGTAGCTCAAGTAAACAATCCTATGATGCAAGTAAAATTGTTTGAAAAGCAAGAAACAATTGAAGCTAAAGTTACTAGATGAGTGAGATAATCAAAATAAGGGCAGATAGAGATTTAAAAAATTATAAAGTTAATGAAACAAAAAGCTGTTTTTTTTTTTGAAAAAAATCAAAGTTGACAGAACTCTTGCAAGATTAACAACAACAAAAAGAGATTGGGGAAATTTTCAGTGATAATCTTACTGAATGAGTGTTACATCCCTCTGTTCTGGTATTCCTCACCATCCACCCCAATGATATGAAAGTTAAATTTCTTGGCACTGTCTGCTATTCTTGGACTTCCATTTGGCATAGTTAATTTTTTCCATATTTGTGACTTTTTCCCAGCTGCTGCATTTTGTCTTCCATACCTGATACTCTGTTTTCCATTTCATTCACTCTATTAACTATGGCTTCAATTGTGGTTTGCATGGAGGAAATTGAACCAGTTATGATTTCTATGTCAGTTCTGAAAGTATTAATTTCGCCTTTCAAAGAGATGTGTACTGCATCTATTTTTGATTGCAGCTCTTGTTTGAAATTCTGGGTTTCTTTTGGTAATTCGTTTCTTTGTTCTTTAAATTTATGATCTATTTCTCACTTTAGTTCTTGTGTCATTGCCTCTCTCAGCTCTTAGATAGTGTTTGTGTTCCATTTCCTTTTCACTTTCAGTGGAGATCTTCTCTGGTGGCTGCTGGTCTTTGGGATAATTTGCTGTCTTTGCTGTTGATAATCTTGTAATTTTTTGCTGTGATTTTCACATGATGTTTCAGGGATTATTAGAGATGAATCCCGAACTCTGACTGTTTTGGTCAATAGGTGGCTGCCTTTGCTTGGTTCTGAGTTAGTTCCACATCAATTGTTGGACCTGTTCTCAGCCCTAGGCTGGCTGAGAGACTTTGCTTGGTCTCAGTTTTGTAGTGGGGGTGTGGGTGTGGGGAGGGGAGCAACCTCCAGCTGCTAGTCTGACCCACTTAGGGCTCACTCTTGTTAGATTCTGGCGGGCAGACCCACTCCACCCTCTGCTGAGGCATGAGCTCAGTTCCTGACTTCAGTCAGGGACAGGTGATGTCTATAACTCCTGCTCCCTGGGACACTGATAGGACTTGTTCAGCCACCTGCTGAAGGAGGAACTGCCCACAGGCAATTCCTGACTTCAGCCAAGGACCAGCAGCCTAGATTGTTCTCCCTCCTCTCAGGAGGTTTGCTCTTGGCAAACCCAGGTGGGCTGGGTGTATTCCACCAGTTGCTGGCACCCAATCGCAGTTCCTGACTTTAGCCAGGTACTTGCGGCTCGAGCTGCTTGATCCCCAGCCCAGGATGTACTGGCTGGGCTCTTTCAGCCCATGGGTGCAGGAGCAGCCACGTTTGACTTCCGTCCCGGGGGCACACTTGGTCAAGCCCGGTGGGCTTGTGCTCTACTGGATGCTGGGGCGCTTGCACAATTTCCAGCTTCAGTGGGACCAGTAGCCCAGGAGGTAGGGAGAGGGGTCCAGGTCAAGCTCTGGTCTCCAGTGACGGGGAGGAGGGGTGTCATCCCCCGTGGGGTACTCAACTTATCCTGGAACTGGTTGGGGGCTGACCAGTGGTGCTGCAGCAGATCGCTGTTTCTGAGAACACATTCTGTGTTCTGCGTTCCATTGAGATGATGGGGCTGGGCCGGGGGCAGGGCTGGGCCAGGGGATGGGGGTGGGGGGCTCCGGGTCTGGGTTTACAGTCCCTGCCTCTGTTTATGCCGTCGGGTCTGGCACCATGGGCGTTTTCTGCGCTGGCGTTCTATGGGCCACTGTGGCTCTTCGGTCTCTGGCAGCTCCAGGCCAGGCTGCTGGCAATGGGTGGGGAAGAGGCTTGGTGCAGGTTTGTGCCAGAGGTTTCTGTCTCAGCTTGCACTCTCCAGGTCAGCACTGGTGTTCTACAGACCACTGTAGCTCTGGGGTCTCTAGCTACCAAGGCCCAGGCTGCTTGGTGTTGGTGCTTTTCCATCTTTGTATAGGTTCTTTAGTTTTTTCCTTTTTGTTTTCTATTTTCTGTATTTCTCTGGGTGTTCGCCTTCTTGCTGTTGTTGGTCTCTTGGGGAAACCGAGCCTTGAAACTTAAATTCTATTTGGTTGGAGAGAGCTGTGGTGTTTCCCTACTGTTCTGTCACCATCTTGGGTGTATGTATTCCTACACTATAAACAAAATGGTATGAAAGCGCTCCGTCAAGCTGTGGGTAGACTTTACCAGGATAGAGAGATTATACCTCTCTTTGGTAGTCTTCCTGAGGTATTGTACCTCTGCTTTGACCTTAAAAGTTCTAGTTTTCCCACCTGTAAAGTGAAATAATGAGGGTGTCTCTTTCCAGTCTTAAAGGGAGATGGTAACAGAAAATGAATTTCAACTCTTGTGTTAGAATCATAGTGAAATCTTATCTTTAAACACAAATGTATACCTTTTATAAGGACTAAAAACTTTCTAGTCATTTAAATTCTACCCCCTCCCCAATAATCTTAACTTTTTTTTTTTTTTTTGTCGGTCATGGGGCTTGAACTCTGGGCCTGGGCGCTGTCCCTCAGCTCTTCAGCTCAAGGCGAGCACTCTACCACTTGAGCTACAGCGCCACTTCCGGTTTTTCTGATGGTTATTGGAGATAGGAGTCTCACGGTCTCTCCTGCCCGGGCTGGCTTTGAACCGCGACTCTTAGATCTCAGCCTCCTGAGTAGCTAGGATTACAGGCGTGAGCCCGTAATTAGCGCCCGGCTAATCTTAACTTTTTTAAGGTTGTTAGTGGGAAGTACAAAAAGGTATAGCATAAGTTAATACATTGTTACTTCATGGATCATTGTGTTTCCCCCACCCCTCATATTGAAGTCAAAAGAAGTCACCATCGCCATCCTGAGTGTCCTGAAGATATTTTCTGCCTTTTACTTGCCCTCAGAACATACTTTTTTTTTTTTTTTTTTTTAATGGAGATAGTTTGTAAATGGTACAGGCCTTGTGGTGGTGGTAGTGGTTGTGGTGGTTTGTTTTGGCAATACT